GGCAGCGGCGAGTCAACTTGGCCACTCGGAGCCCCAGCGGCCCACGGAGGGCACGTAGCCACTTTCGCAGTCATTGATTATAGCTTCTAGTTGAATGTTGGCGACTTGTTGCGTTGCGTTGGCGTTTGGATTCAAAGGTTCGGTCGCCTGGATGGCAGCGATGGTGGCTCCAGCTCCAAGACTGTACAGACTAATCCGGCCCTGCGCTCGGTTGAACAGGAGGTCCGGCTCGTCTCCAAATTTCGTTGTTGGTTTAGACTGATCTGTGGGTAAAGAAACGTGGTCGAAACGGAATGTGAGAAAATCTGAGCCTGAACCCTTGACCTAGACCCCTACTTATCGATCGTTCGATCGTTCGATCGTTCAGTGTCTCAAGGGTAACCAATTATCCCAGCAGCCCCTCTCCCAGCAGCCCTTTCGTAATCAGTTTTCCCGCAGGTAGAGTCAAATGGGTTATTAATGAGTCTCGTAGGTAAAGGGATCGTTATCTGTTTGTCTCCCGCTCAATGCTGTTGCCGTGGACGTACAGTCCCGCCTCCCGTCTTCAGTGTGCAATAAACAATTGCCAGACACATAAATGGAGTGGAGTGTACAATGTACACGTACGGACATTGTACAGCCTTATCAACTCGCGGCAGGAAGTGGGCGGGGTTGTTTAGTATGCGCTTAAGTGCTGATAATTCACCAAAGTTAGTGGGAGCTAGCAAAAAAAGACGAATAAAACACTCAGAACTCATAGGGCGGTGCCGGATGGGGCACGTGCCTTGGTCACATTTGCATGCATGTGAATTTGTGAATTTCGCCCCATCTTCGTCATGCGCTAATCTCGCTTGTTTTTCGGTCGCACTTTTTTATGATTAGAGTACATTTTTTGCGTAGTTGATTCTGTGAATTTCTTTGTGTGTAATATGATTCAGTGCGGACACAAAGTTCTGGGCATGTTTATTATACCACGCGAAATTGTTGCTTATTTACAGGTGAATCATGGTCGGACAAATGTGCGAAGGTCTGGGCTGCAGCTTCTCTGGCAGCCTCACGAGATCTGAGAATTCTATTTTATATTCGTGTATTGTAGAGACACTTGATAGCTGCTGATTCGAATGCCCATGCCCATGATTTAGATCAATTTACTTACCCATACAATGGCCTAAAGCCCAATAAACCAGATTGTATTGTGGTTTTCCTTTGTTAGACGTTCCCTCGAACAATCTGTGGTATCACGCGCTGCTTCAGTGGAGTGCCGTTCGCGGCTGTTACTGAGATTCCGCTTAATTTAACACAGCTCAACTGTTGCTCACTAACGGGGGTCTGGGGCAGGCCCCAAACGTTGGGAAATGTAACGAAATAAGGGGTAACGTAACGCGAACTAAAGGCAAACAACTTGTTGAGTTGCTTGGGTTGTTTGCTGTCTTTGAGTTTCTCTGCTTGTTTGCTTGCTTTTTGTTTGGGTTTGCTCTGGTTTTGATTTGATAGATTTGATTTGCTTTTGCTTTTGCCTGTTCAATGCAGGTCCGAGTTTTTTAACGATATTGGCGAATTAATCGACATCGAAGTGAATTTTATTCAACACGTTTTATGCTTAACCTGGCCCACAGATACAGACACTATGTATATCCCTCGGTATAGTATGCACTTGCACTTGGCTATTTTCGTAGCGTAGAGATGACTGCTGGCTGTTCCGTTGGCTATGAAAAACGAAGACCGAATGAGAGTCGAGTGCGGCCCTGCTTCTATATATACAAAAATCCGATCGCAATTGTATTGTTTCCCCCGATTCGACTACGAACTGTGGCCGTAGCTGGCCCAGTTGTTGTTGTTGTAGTTGTTGCCTCGGTATTTGTTTGTTTTCTTTATTCGCGCGCACCAAACCAAACGAACAAAATATTTCAATTTATGACGCAAAAAAGCTTGAAAAATTCCACAAAGCCCTTGGGCCGATAACGGGGGAACGGAACGCGACTTTTGTTTTGCTCCGTAACTTCGTGTCCGAGTGGCTGTGGCTGTGGGGGCGATTGTTATTGTTTTTACACGATAGTTGGGGGCTAGAATCGTGTTGGGATAGGATCGGGACCACGCCTTTCTTCTGCAAAGAGAAAGGTGGAAGAAGCAGGATAATTTATGGAAAATAATCGTATAACTAATCAACTGATGAAACTGTTTACTATGATTATAGCAACTCTTATCTATTGTTTATCCCCTGTCAGCACTTGTTTATGCTCCAGTTTATTTATATAGTTTACGCTGGGTACCGTCACCGGGCCCCTCCCCCCCTCCGTCCTGTTTTATAACTAGTTGAGTGGAAAATTTGCCATTCCATGGGTTGTGTCGCGTGGGTAACCATTGGCAATGGTAAATCTGATTGGACGCCCTCCTCTGGTACAGAAGATGCATTCGATTGATTATGATACGGCAGCATCGATGGGTGGCTCTATGGGGGCTGCTGCCCATTGTAATGCGCATTAGCAACGCCCGCTGGGAGCCAGTGGAGCGGTGGCAACGTGGGTGCCTTGAGAGGCAACTAGTTGTTGCAGGGAGCGGAAAGGACTTGCCCTACAAGTGCTGCAAACTATGTAATAGGTCCCTTAGGTCCCCCTAGCCAACACGTAATTAGTGTCACGAACTAATTGGCAATAGGACGCCAGCTGCCCTTCCATTTATAGATACATATCTTAGTATATATTCTTAGGCCTAGGACGCTGCTCATGCTGATCCCATTTGGTCGAGGCCAGGGCCCCACCAGATAGAACAATGCCACAGCCTTTACACTCTTGTTTACAGTGTGGTGGCATGCCCCCCCCCCCTCCCACTCCCCTCATTTTTATATAGCTGCCATATAGTTGAGATTGTAATTTTTGCGCCGTAATGAAATTGTTCTCTTCTGGTGTTTGCCGAGATGCACATTGTACAAATAAAGACAAACATTTTGTGATGGTGCAATTTGATGAGAGAATTTTGCACTACCCAAGGACGTCCTTGGTGTGGGGTAACTATTTGCACAAACTGTACTCGAAACAGGATAGAATGCTCGCTTAGTCGGTGCGACCCCTACTCCGTTTGGAAACAAATAACAAATAGATAAATTCAGCAAAGTGACATCCATTAGGAGGGCAGCTTATGCATAGACAAACCGATTAAATATGTTTTTATTAATTAACTACCAAATGCGACGCTTAAGCTGTGTCAGGGCTGTGGTGGGGTGACATTTATGAGCCACACAGAAGTTTCTGTTGGACAAAACGGAAGCCAAAGATGGAAAGGTCGCGCAACCGGTGGCGGGCAAATTGGCTACGACAGTTACTTCACGCTTTCTGCATTGACGTCATAGGCAAATGGAAGAAACGAAACGGAAACCTTATCCCAGTTTCCCAACGACGACTTTTCTATCGAAACTAGTTCAATGTCGCTAAACGGTGCCTGACGTCATTGTACATATGTGGCCCACTTCGCTGCCACAGCTTCAAGCCGGCCGGCACTTGGAATGGGTATCAGGTGAGGTTTTTCCTCCCCATTGACCCAGCCCATTCCAGGGGTTGCCTCAGTCCACGTGTCACATGTAGACTGTCTCGCGTCTGTGAATTTGTAAACAAATTCGCATCCGGGGGCACCTACTGTGATGGGCCTTTTACAATCAAAACAACAGCAGACCGACCCAAGCGCAGACGCTGGAATTCTTCCAGATGGACGTGGAAAACGTATGGACTCATTGCCATAGAAACAATGTCCAATTGGGGAACCATAACTCATCAAGTATAAACTTTACCTTAGAACAGATGCAATCTTCCTACTTTTTCTTTATACAAACCGTTCAATTCATGCTTGCACACTATTCTAGAACAGCACTGTAAGCATCGCCCGCAGACAAAAAGTGCATCGCAACGGTTCTTTACACTGAAGGTCAACTAAATGGGCACGCTGCAAACTAAAGGTATACTTTTGGGGATGAAATATGTTTTATTAAGAAATATAATAGTTTAGTATTGGGCGCTATAGTGGGACGGCACTGTATTTGGTATCCTGCTTTTGCGCACTTATGTACATATATCGAATTGCATATTTCTTTGTTGTCTGTTCCTTGGCAACACCCCACTGTTATGGAAAGGAGCCCAAATTGGCCCAGTAGTAAAATCGATAGAGTAACTCCACACACAGTGGTTTGTAGGGGGTGGAAGGGATTTCTTACCCTTTCAACTGGTTCTCTAAGGGAACACAAACACTCGCACTAGAACTGGAATCACACTCGTATGAACACACGCAAAATCAGTCGCCGCCTGCCGGAGGTCGGAGGTCAGGGGGAAAGGTCGAGTCGAGTCCACAGCCTTACAGCTTTTTACTCCAATTGTAGGAACCGTTGTAGAAAAATAAAATCAATATTATCATTTTAGTGTGCATATTGAGGACAGTCATTGCACAACGGTTAAGGCACGATTGCACTTGTCGCAAAGGATTGGATGCAAGTCTTTCAACTAAACTGATGACGAAACTCGGGTCGATTAGTTTTTATGCCTCCTCTTGCGTTTGTGTGGCATTTAAGGTGCGACGGTCGAGAGAATGCGAACTACGCGAAAAGAAGACTCTAGAAACTCGGGGGTATCCTTCGATTAATTCAATTGAGATGGCAGTGCTTCGATAAATCGCGACAGCTGATCGCTGTGGTGGCAGCGATAGCGATATCGATGGTATTATTGATTATAAAATTAAAATTAATATCGATGCTGTTATCGATTGCGGCTTGTTACTATCGATTGGATACAAGTGTGCGCGCCAACGAAAAATTGTTTGAAATGAATTTTCATTCATTCATTCAAAAATTGTTTGAAATGAATTTTCATTCATTCAAGAAAAACCTGCTAGAGTTTCTATATCCTATATTCTTGAATCTACTTTCAAAAATTAAACTTAATATTATTTGAGACAAAAGGCTCGCAGCTTGAAGTTGATCAGCTTTACTTTGTTCAAGTTGTCATTCGAATTTGATTCAATTCTGAAATCCGAAGAGATGTTGTGCGTATAAACATGGTAATGCGGAGTCGGGGCCACATCAACGTCAGAGTTCCACTAATGGTAATGGTAATGATTGTGGCAAATCTGCGACAAGTGTCTGCCAGTTACGGACGCAATGTTGAAAATGGAGCTTCGGGGATATGGCAAAAACGACGGCCAGATCAAGACGAATGGCATGATCCTTCTCCATTGGATTTCAAAAAACCAGTAGTGGACCCCGAGCTCTTGTTCCAACAGCTGGAAGAATTCGATCAATTCGGTGATCCAAAAGTACTGGACAAGGGATACATCTGGGGCCCCAAGCCGAACTCAGCCCAACAGCTGCAGAAGGAACAGAAAAAGAACAAGCTGAAGGACTGGCTAAACCGTTTCCACGAAAATGAAGTGTTAGATGGAGCACGAGGGAACCAGGAAATCGACGACTTGATTACGGGGCCGGTGATGAAGAATTTCAATGAGAAGAAGGACAAGAGCTCGCAGCAGCTCGAGCAGCGTCACCGCCAAATGGAGGCTTTCCAGAATGCTGCTGCCGATCTAGCTTTTGACCGAATGATAAATATCCAGAAAGAACAGGGCAAGGGCGCTAAGACTGTGTTCCTCCCCCTATATCCCTCTGCAAAACCTTCTTTGGCGAGACCCTCTTTGGTAAAAATTGCTCCTGCAAAACCCTTAAATGGAAAAATCCATTTAGCGTCTAAAGCCAAGTGCCAGAAGCCACTGCCATCTTCCCCAGTAACGCCTCGACCAAGCACCTGTCCGGCAACGACTTTTCGGCCACCCACAACCCGCCACACCAAGATGTCCTCTCCCAAACCGTTGGCGCCGCCGTCCAGGCCGAAGTGCAAGCACAGGAAGGGCAAGAAGAAGCCAAAGAAGCTTGGTACTTCCTCAGCATCGAGCATCGAGAAAAGGATCCTGGCCTTGAAGCAGCACGCCCTTTCCATCCTCAAGAACTTGAACTACCTGGAAATGGAGCTGCTCAGCCAATCGCCAGACATCTGCCCTCGTCACCAGTCCCACCAAGGCCCCATTCCGAAGAAGAAAACAAAAACCGGCGAGCGACTGGACAGACCTACCCAGCCGTCCTTGACCCAGTCGAAGCTGCATCGTGGCTTCTTCTTTGGCATTCGACCGGCGAGCACCAAGGAGAGATTGGCAGACTTGGCTGCCTCTCGTGAGGAGGAGCTCAGACTGCAGGTAAAGGTATGGCGTGAGCACCTCCAGCATCTGATGGCCAGAAAGCGGCCCTTCCCAAAGGCAAAGCGGTTCGAGGCAGCCCCAGCAGCAGCCGCTCGCCTAGAGCCCGTCGCGGATACGCAGCTCAATCTGAATTCGCAGCCAACGCCATCTTCAGCAGCTCAGTCCGATTATAGTCCCACCGTTCGCATGCCAGTAGCATCTGACAAAAAGTTCGCCGTTCGAAATTATGAGCTGAATAGCAACAACCGCAATCTTGCCAGAAGGAAAAAGAAGAAGAGAAAGAAGAAGAGAAAGATGGTAGCTCTACTGGCGGATGATACCCCAATGCGAAGTTGAAGTAGCTTTAATTGCATTTTGTTAGTTAATTATCATATATTTCTCAATATTATATTTTAAATTGGCGCCTTTTTTTCTTGGCAAAGGGTCACGCTATGAATACTGCGACCAGTATTTTCACAAGGTTAGTGCTGGGTAAGGTTCATTTTTTCCAGCGGTATATGTATAGTATATTTTGAAAATAATACCCCATATTTCGGTATATTCCTTAGGGTATATTTTATCGAAAAGTCCGCGGTCAAACTGCACAACTCTTCGGGCCGCAAACCAGGGTGACTTTTTCTGGTATTTTTAATACTTATCGGTATTTTTTTAAGGTAAAAATTGAACCGACGGTATATCGGTATATAATGGTATATTTTGTCGATTTCATCAACCCATTCAATTTCATTTTCAACGTTATATAGAAATTAAATCAAAGCATGTATGTAGAACAGGCCAGTTAATTAGGAAATTGATTCATCAATCGTATAAAACTACGTGGGCATGCCTGAATGTTCTATATAGCTAGTAATATTCCACGGAATATAAAAAACGAGGAATATGTAAAATATAACTTGAATTTGTCAGTATATTTACGGTATATTTTTCAAAAAAGACGGTATATTCCTGAGGGTATATTTTATCGAAAAGCCCGCGGTCACACCGCACAATTCTTCGGGCCGCAAACAACAATACGTCGATTTTTTCCGAATTGAAAATTGAAAAGGCCGCCTTAACTGCCATCGCGGAAAAATGTCTTTGCAACAATTGAATAGCTGTGAGTGTGGATTGTGAGGAAAGGAGAAGAGTGTGTCGCGTGGGGGATAACATAATGTGGATGCGTTTTCAGTGAATATTAGAGTTCGATTTTAGTGCTAAACTCCGAGGCGTCGTTCCACCAAAACATCCTCCTCTCGCAAAAAGGCGCATACAACCAACGACAGTGGTGTATTAGTGTATGAGTGTTTTGTGTGTGGTGTTGGTGCCGCTCTCCAGCAGAGTTAGTATTATTAACCTGAATTAAAACTCTCCGTGCTAAAAAGATCTAAATATACCCAAAACGAAACTCCCTTTCGCTTCCTGCCCAGCGTTCGGGTAAAAGAGAGGGCAGAAAAAAATTTCGTGTCTCTACTCCTTGAAAAGGAGTTTGCTATTGCTGTCGGTGTTTGTGTGTTTGTTTCCGTGCGTGCGCGCGTGTTTGTGTGTGTGTGTGCTGGGAGTTGGAAACCAAAGAAACGTAATTTAATTAAAATTAAAATTAAACATTTTCTTAATTACCGCAGAGAGTGTAAGAATCAAGTTTCCCTCTGCCAAGCAGAGACGCATTTCTCTTTCTTGTGGGTGGAGAGCGAGCGAGCCAGCGAGTTATAGAGTGAGAGGGTGAGACGAAGAGGCCGAGCAGACGCCGCCACGCACCAATACCAACGCATTTTCGCTGTGGAAACGGAATTAACCAAAATGCTGTGGTAAGTTTTCTTTTTGCAACATTTATTTATAACTCTGCAGTTCTGTTGCTGCTCTCCTCTTCTCTCCTCTCCTATCAGCCAATCCAATCGAAAACTCCATTCTACTTTCTGCGCATGTTTTGTTTTACTATTTTTTCCCTTCCTCTTTGCGCCTATGACTTCCGCTTTTTGCTCCGGCGGCGACAGCGGTGGCGGCGGCTGCTGCTGCTGCTGGTTCATCTTCCCTGGCCGTGCCATGCTCCCTTTTCTGCTTCTTCCTCTCCTGTTCTGCTTCTTCTTTCCATACAAACACGCCCTTTTTTGCGCACCTCGCATGCGTCCGTGTGTGTGTGTGTGTGTGTGTGTGGATAGAGTGCAGTTTCTAGCCGAATAATTTATGCTTTTTCTCGTTCATTTCCCTATGCTTAGAGTCTTGCAAATTAGTGAAATGTTTGCTCTCCGGTTCGGTTCAGTTTCGGTTCCCTCTGCTGGCAGCTTGGCTTCGAACAGCTGTCGCTCTGCTGCCTGCCGCAAAACCTGTTTCCCTGCACATTTTGTTTGTGGGGGGGCGACGCCAGAGGAGGCTGTGCTTTAATTGTTACTCTCATGTTACTCTTCCTTCTAGCCTGCTCTCTCTTCCTTTTTCGGTGTTGTTATTCTTCCCCTGCTTGTTGTGTCTAGCTTTACAGAGCATCTGCATTCACTCTTGCGTCTGATGGCTGCTGGTTCTTCCCCTTCTTCCTTAATTCTGCCACAAAAACAAACAAAAACCTGCCAATTGAGTTAAGAGAGCGGCAGCAACAGAGAGCAAGAGAGAGAGAGCGTGCCAGAGGGTGAGACGGGGGGGCAGAGAGCGAAAGATGCGCAGCATGTGCGGGTGGGGCAGCCTCATTTTCTTCCTCTTTTATGTTTGTTTGAACTTTAATTTATGCCCAGGCCCCAGACCCCAGACCCAGCTTCAGCTCCAAACTGCGGCTTCCTTTTGCCGCTGCCATAGCCACAGCCACAGCCACAGCCACAGCTACAGCCGATGGTGCATTGACATTTAAATGTTGCAACAGCAACGATTCCAGCCAAGGCCTGAGCCCATGAAATGGCAGCCAATTTCCATGACTCATTTCTTGTTTTATTTTTTGTTCGCTTTTTGCTGCCAAATGAAGCGGGCCAAAGACCCGCCACTGATACACACACACACACACACAGACAATATATAGGGCCAAAACAAAAACCCGTTCAGAAATAGACGAAAAATCCGAGTTACAATTGAAACGGACAATGGCCCGAACGATGGACGCTACTAAATTTGCATTCGCCATGTCTCTTCTTCGCGTACCCTACTGTGGCTACCTACTTGCCCTCCATCCATCTTCTGGTCGGCAGCCTACGTCTGGCGTTTCCGCGGGCCAAACCAGAAGCACAGAATCTGCCACATGGTTGCATGCAACGAGCATTTCGTAATTGTTCCATTAGAACAGGGGAAAACAGAGAGAGAGAGAGAGAGAGAGAGAGAACAGACCGAAAGAGAGCCAGCCGGCGAATGTCGGTAGCCATTTCTTGGGTGTGACGACACAGTTATTTGAACACCGTTAGCCCAGTTCCAGTTCTAGTTCCAGCTGCAGCTCCCCCCTGCCATCACTATCAGCCTCTCCCTCTCGCTCCCATCAACAGCTGCAATTGGGGACGTCTCAAGATAAGATAAAACGCAAACCAAAGCAAAGCAAAACCAAAACCAAAAACACACATGTCCCTCTCCCACCACCACCATCACCTTCTCCCCCCTTCAGTCACTGTATGATTCGCTTTCGTTAATAGCAAACACACAAATTTGTTGCTCCATTTCCATTCCATTCCATTTTATCAGCATAGCATACTGAGATGTGTGCCAGAGAGGGAGAGAGACAGTAGATAGGACACCCTACGCCCTGCCTGCTCCCCTCGCTTTTGTTGTTTACATTACGCTTTTGGCAGTTTTACGATGACTACATTTCGTAGGAGGTGATGGGGTACGCAGGAATCGGTGTTTTATTCCGAAATTCCAGGTATTTCTCGTTGATGCACCACACAAAAACTACGCGGGGAAAAAAGAGTCGAAAATCTGAATCATAAACCTGCTCCGTCACTCCGTCTGTGACTAACGTGAGCGGAGTGTCGCAGCAGACAGCTTTGGCGCGTTGTAGCTGCAGAAACAAAAGCGGAAGGGAAAGAGAGACAGAGACAGAGACAGAGAGGGAGGGACAGAGCGAGCGCGAGTGAGAAAGAAGGATGGAAAGGCGGATGGTCTTGTCAATGCATTGAACTCTGAACTCGAGATGCTGGCCCGAGAGCCGAGAGTGGAGGGTCGCCACCCACCCACATGGATGTGGATGCCACACACACACACAAAATCCAATTAACATTTCCGCATTGTGGCTGGCTATCCACTTCCTCCCACGTTGGCAGTCCAGCAACAACAAAAACAAGTCAAATCCCAGCCCAATCCCAGTCCCAATCCATTCCGATTCCAATTCCGATTCCAACAGCTTTGTTCCCTCCGATTTCAGTGTGATGTATGGTGATGCGGGACCATCATGAGGGGGGGAAGGAGAATCTTGAGACATCATGCACTCTCTGTCGCTCCGTTACCGCTAGCTTCCTTCCCACTTGAGAGAGCGAGGAAATGGCTCCCCTGCTGATGGCACACTTCTGCGGCCTAATGGTTCCATTACTGTGCCCCAACTGCAGCAACTGCAACAACAACAACAACAACCACAACAACAGCATTCTGCATTGCCATTTTTCGATAAACAATTCTATTAAATATTTGTGGTATGTGCGTCGTCCACTGCATAATTCATGATTGGATCGGATCGGATGTGAGCGTGGAACGTGTTTGGGTTTACTCATTAGACGCCAGCACTGAACCCCCCTCCCTCTCCACCCATCCACACAATCTCCTTCCCCCTATCCCGACTAATTAATATCTTTTCTTTCACTTCTCCGCTTGTTGATTCAATAATTTGTTATTGTTTATATTTCTGTTTGGACTCTTCCTCTTTGCCTCTGCTGGGTTCTTCCTCAATTGGGGAAATGATTTGATTTGATTCTATTCCGACTGAAAATTGGCGAAAAGTGAGTCACATGGAGCGTGTGCCGTGTGCGGGCGCGGGTTGGGGGGGGGGAATAGATAAAACGATTCACCTTATCGCAGATGGAATTTTATCATACCGCTTCCATGAGCAGTGTCGTGTCAAGCGGCAATTAACCAACATAACAGTTCATGGAGACCGGCAGAGGGAGGATGGATCCACCCTGTAATAGTGGGGACTGTTCTGGGCATCGTCTGCTGCTCTCAGAAATCGCAACGAGGAAAGGCCGCCACCGACTCAGATTAAACATGAACATTCAATGGTTCTTTGTGTGTGTGTGTGTGTTTGTGATAATACACACACACATACATATATACAGCATAAATTGTAGATACAACTGAAACGCAAAGAACTGCACAGATAAGCAGAACTGGCGGCGGCAGAAATGAAATTTCGCTTAAGTGGGCAACATTTGAGGCGTTTCGGTGGCATTGTCTTGACGCCCCTCCACAACGGGGGAGCAGGGAAGCAGGGAAGCAGGGC